AATCCCGCCACTACGCCGGACATATTCGGCTTAACGTGTATTTTTTTCCAGTCTGGACCCCATGTTGCATATTCATATGAACTGTAGATCAGATATTTTTTGAACAAATACCCATCTTTCATCCTTTCAGCATGCCTACAACCTACTAAACAGCCTTGGTATCAACCTACCATTCATACTTTATCTACACAGTACACATGCATATTGATATATGGGGTATGTGGTTCAGTAGGTTATAGTAGGTCAGGTGCCTACATGCTATCATTTGTCATGCTTTGATTTCAGGTGGTGTCTTGTGGGCTTTATAGTGGGCTTTGTGGCCCTCTCTAAGTGCAAGGGTTAAGTGTTGATGCACATAATGCAATGTGTTTTTTTTCCATGGGCGCAGGAACCTCACTTAAAGTGTGGGGGGAGGGGGCAGAGAACTTCAATGTCACTTTGTGGGAACCCCAATACCCCTATAAACAAATTCTTGGCAGTTTCGTGCTTATCTCACCTTGCCGAACAATTTCTTGCTCTTAGTTTTGAATTTAAATGAAAAATAAATATTTTACTTTAAAAATTAGCATAGCTTAAAAGTGGGGACATCCCCCCCCCCCGATCCTAGACCTTTTTTTCTTAATGGTACAAATCATCCAGATTCATATGAGAAGGGTAGGTAGCTACCTACAAAATCAAATCAATGCCTCAATTGTTCATTGTTTTATTACAATAAGTCCCTCCTCTGCCAATCACACTAAACTATCTACTGTCACAATGCAGTGTGCGTCATGATTTCTCAACTCTATGCATACAATATATTTCCATTTGTCAATCACATATTGTTTTTTTTTTTACAGGCTTTCCGGTTATGACTGAGGCCAGCATCTCACGTGTCCTGGCTACGCCAAATCACTGCGGATGCCGGATGCCGAGGACCGGAGAGCCAACCGCTTTGAGGCGTGAGCTCTGTGGCGTGGCTCGAGTGATCACCAGGTTCTGACGGCTACGGCGCCGTCGACCTGGTTGAATAGCTGGGGCCTGGACGAGAGTGCCCTTAGTACGGTGGTCAATCGGTTACGTTCGAGGGGCGCTCGAACACGCTGCCGTCGCGTGGCTGCCGGCGGCCGCCCCCTCGCACGTGAATCTCCTGGAGCGAGGACTGCGGGAGGCGGCCGCATCATCACCTGTATCCGCGCTCAACACCGTGCCACGCACTAATGGCGGAAGCCCGACTTTCTCCGATGGAGGAGAGAAGCTGGACGCTGGCTGCCAGGCTGCTGGGGAGGGCGCTGGGTCTGCCATCAGGGGACCCCCTGCACGCGACCGCCGAGGCCTCGGCACCGGCGCGCCTGCCTTCGGTCCGAGGCTGGAGATTGCGAGGCCGCCAGGCCTGGGCGAGAGCGAGAATCCCACCGTGGCAACAGACGGCTGGCGTCACCTTCCGGTTGGACGTGTGCCCGATCCGGGCTGGGGCCACGGCGGCGGAAAGGGAAAGCGTGGCTACGCTGCACCTCGCGTTCCTGCCCCTGTGTGCTGTCCGGCTTTGGACGGACGGATCTGTGGAGGGCGGAGTCTTCAGGCGCTGGGCGGGAGCCGTGCTGGTCTGGCTGGACGAAGAGGTCGAGGAACTGCGGGCCCCGGCCGGAGAGTTGTGCTATAGCTACCGCGCGGAGATGGTGGCGCCGGTGACCGGTCCGGAGACCGTACTCGGAAGAGACAGACAGAGACCAGGACCTGCGGTCTCCGGTCCGTACCTATCTGCTAACTGTGCGGTAGTGCTGGTGTAGTGCAACATTTTTGGATGGCTAGCTACATTTCACGATTAAATAGCTGGTACGTTTCAGTGCAGGTGGCGTGACGAACAATGTGTCTGTTGGCCACTTCTGCGGAAGCTGCCATTTCCTACTCGAAGGCGGGCGCGCTGTTTGGCTGGGCCGGCAGGATGTTCCCACTTCCCATTATGTGTCGACGGCAAAGCGAGTATATTCATGTTCTTTTAATGCACAGAAGTCTGTTGTATATTTGAAGTTTTATTTTAGGTTGACGATTGCGAAGGGCAGATTCATCTTCTCTCTTTCATTTGTGTTGCCACTTTAGCGTTCATGTTTGTCATAAGTGTCCTGGTCCGGCTTGGTTGTCATCTTTATTCGTGATGTATTTTATTTTACGAACATGCTGGTGATCAATGCAATACACTTTTGATTAATAATGCTGCTTTAGCTCTGATCCTTTGTGGTATGTCTTGATTGTACTACTGCGATAGTGATTTTTCCTCACCAAAATATGCAGGCAACAAATGTAAATGCTGCCAAAAGTTTGTCATTGCGTGATGTATCTAAAAGACATCAAGTTTCTGAACGTGGTCGTGTACTACGCAACCGGAAACTCAATAGGACGTGGAATGCTGTGAAGCAAAACTACAGAAGTGAGGCTGGCCACGCCAAAATCAAGTGAGATATGTCTAGCCTTTCTTCAGCCGCCAAGGCTTCGACAGACTATCCGCGGGTTCGGTGTCTCTCGAACTACGAAAATTCAACGTCGTCCGGCCAATCCTGGTTAAGGTCAGCGGGGACTTAGCTGTGGTTATGGAACAGGATTGGCCGTCCGAGAGACTCAGAACCTGGGGTATGTTGCAGCACAGCTATGTCGACCGAGTGTCGTCGCAAGCTACCCCTTTCGACGAGAAAAAGTAAAACCGTCCCGTCCTAGGCTGACTAGGCTTAGCTAGGTGGCAGCACAGTCGCGCCGGCAGGGGGCAGTGCCACAACCAGCCGACTGATATTTTCGTGTGACGTCAGAACCGGTGCCTCCCTGCTCGCAGCCGACTGACCGGCCAAGGTCACCGGGGCGCCCCGTCCGCCGGGAGGGCGGAGCTTAATGGTCACGTGTTTGTGACGTCACGCCTACGTACGGATAGCCTCTACTCCACTGACGGATTTACGGAGCCGAATTTAACATTACGAGGCAACGACAAGTGCTCTAAATTTTGATATTTTGTTAAAAGACCATATTGACAAAAATTGGCGCTTGAGCTGAAACATCGTCTGCAAAAATTTCAAGCTAATTGGACAAAAATTGGAAAAAATTATCGCCGAAAAACAGGGTCTCATGGGGTCTGAAATGCATAGTAGGACATGTGTTTAGGTTAACTCAATCTGGACGCCACAGGAAACCGATAAAATGCACTAAAAAAAGTACATTCCGAACGGAAATTGAATGCTCGTTAAGGAACTGGGCTCAGAATTTGGATAGGGTCTTTAGTTTTTTCTCTATTTTGAAATGAAATCGAAAAAAATGTCAAATTTTTACAAAATTTCAGCATTAACTTACTTTAACATAGATTTATGACGTTATTTTTACACGCAAATATGCAAAACCGGGTATCATTCGAAAGCTTGTGGCATAGGAAAGGCGATGAAAGTTACCACGAATCGATTACGCAATTACACCGGACACGGTGGGCCAAAAACCGAATTTCGGGGCCAAAAATCGAAAATCGTCTCTGAAAACCGGAAAAGCATTTTCAGATCAAAACAAATGCCCATTTCGGTTATGATAGGACCCAATGAATAAGAAAAATTCGGTCGCTTTCCAGGAACAGAAAATCTTTCATTTTTTGTTGCATAGTGAATTATTGGTCAGAAACTAGGTGGAAGTGTAGTTAGATGTTTTAGGATGACAGCGGGTGCTGTCTAGTTCATTTACAGTTGAGTTTCATGCTCAGCGTCGTCAGAAACGGTCCATATCGGAAAACGGCAAAACTTTATGACGTCACTGTGACGTCATCTTAGGTGCCACAACCAACAAACTTTTCTCAAACATTGCCTAGGTATTCATTTGAAGCTATGCCAAGTTTCACGTTCGTAGCTCATAAGGTTTCGGAGATATTTTACAAAACGTAAAGGGGGCAACTTTATGCCCCCCCCCCCCCCCCCCCCAGCGGCTCGTGGGTTAAAATTGCATTTGTTTGTTTGTTTATTTGATTCATCATCCACGGGCATAGAAACCCAAGAATGGACGAAGTCTCATATAAAAACGCTGCACACATGCAGCACGTAAGCACGCACATCACACACGTCTCACAGACATACATACACTCTCTAAGTCGTGTTACGCTGAGCGGTCTGACGGACGGTACGTCTCCACTGGTAGGAGCTTTGGTGCCATATATCGGCCTCTCGGCTGACATTCATCAGCTCGTTGCAGGCTTCCGGGATGCGGACAAACAAGCCGCGCTTAATAGTGTTGACCCTTGCGTAGGGGACATGAAATAAGGCCGGCCTGCGCACGTTCCAGATGCAGAGGCAGATGCTGCAGGAGGTACGACGAGTCTATGACCTGACGGTGGACATTTCTAATAAACATGAGGTCATGTTGTCTAGGCCGACGCGATAGGTTTTCCAAACCAAACTGTTGCTCCAGCACGTCGTATCGCACAGGCACATCAGTGAATCGACAGCGAACGCGGAGCCACGTCATGAACTTGTGCTGTAAGCGCTCTAATCGCAGCAAATGAGTGGCAGCCGCGCCTCCCCAAATAACACTGCCGTACTCGGCTATCGATCTCACGTTCGCACAGTACGAGGTGATAATCGCCTGAGAGTCACATCGATAGAGTCACCGGCCGTGCTTCCCTGTCTGAAACGAGCGGATTAGATTTCTGGCAGATAAATATTCTCTGCAATAGCTGCCGCATAGGTAGCAAGCATCCTGGCAAGTGATGAAGCGTTCCCAACATAGAGACACTCTACACTACATACATGCCCTTGGAGCTCCTGGTCAGATAACCCTTTCTCACATAGAAGAGCACTCACGCGCGCACACCGCACGATCGGGCCAAACGGCGGATGTCGAAAGGCGGTCGTACCCGACGCGACTCCGTGAAGCGCCCGGGGCCCTCGTGCGGCTCCGTCTGTTGGTGTCCCATAAGACAGAGCCGTATATGTGTGCGAGACGGTATAAAAGCCGAACGCAGATGGCCACAGTCACACTTCACTTCAACAGCTCATTCTTCCAGCATGAAGTTCCTGGTGCTCGCTGCGCTGGCCGCGGTGGCCGCTGCCGACCAGTCCGGTGCCTCGGTGTACCGGTACGGTACCTCGGCCGGTACCCAGTCCCGGTACACACTGGCAGCTTCCTCAGCTGGGTACGGACTCAAGTCCCGCAGGAGGCCGTTCGAGCCCACACTGAAACCGCTCAACGGAGGCTACTCGCGGCAGAACGGGAGGGCCGGCCAGAACTACGGAGCCTACAACTCCCAGGCTAACGAAGGGTCCAGCTCGCAGACTAACGGAGGCCTCTCCCAGTCCAACGGAGGCTATTACTCCCAGACAACCGGAGACTCTGGCGCTTCTTCCATCGGTGGCTACAGCTCCTCCGCCGGCCTCTACAGCTCCCAGTCGAGCGGAGGCGGCGGCCGGCGGCCGGCCGCTCGCTACACTCCCCGGTACGGCGGCACCCTCAGCGCGCGCGGCTCGGCGCTGGCCCGGGCGCGGCCGGAGCCGACGCCGGCGCCGCAGCCGTACTCGTTCAGCTACGACGTGCTGGACGTGTTCGGTAACGACTACGGCGCGGCCGAGGCGTCCAACGGCGAGCAGGTGCAGGGCCAGTACAGCGTGCTGCTGCCCGACGGCCGGCTGCAGACCGTCTCCTACGCCGTGGACGGAGACTCGGGCTTCGTGGCCGACGTGCAGTACGAGGGCGAGGCGCGCTTCCCGGACGCCGCCGGAGGGCAGCAGGGGCGCGGATCCGTCACCTCCGGCTCCGGACCGGGCGCGTCCTACCGATACGGACGGAACTAGCGCTTTAGAATGACCTACTTCTTCGATGAATCGTCTTACTGTCAAATCAAACTGTGCCTTATGATTGGGTTGTGGCTATTTATACTAGCTCTGTCGGCAAAGTCGTGATCTGTCCAAATATGTCGTTGGGAAATTAAATATTTAATACATGCTGAAAAATATTCAATGTGTAAACAAAACAAATAACATACTTGCAATTTTAAACGAGTGGATATTTACATACGTCATCCATCAGATTGTGATGACTATTGACCAGTGACTAGGAAAATGAAATTTCCCACAATAATAAACAACACGACAATGAGTGGAGACGGCAAGCGAAGATAAATTTTGGTTAGGTATCATTCTCTAAATATGTGGTGATTATTGCGACCGCATTGCAATTTGCTAGTCCTCTCGATGAATTGTAGTCTTTCTGAATCCTCCAGCTTTTTTCCAAGGTAAGGCCGGCATAATGTCATGCTCAGCCGTACCTGGCTAAGGAGTCGTTTGGTACACGAACACACCGTTGTACACCATTCATACACCGTTTAGCACCGTACATACAGGGCCAAACCCATCTCTCGATCACCAACACAGATCTCAGCCCATTTGGCCCACGCACCTGGTTCTCACACACGAGCGCCCTGCTCCATATAATACAGACCAGGCACTAGTGCGCCATGTGGGCTCAACCGTGACTCGTGGTCGTGAGAACCCTCGCCCGTGACCTTGCCGGGGGCGGGCGGCGACTGGGCGTCGCTGGACGCTCGGCGCGGCCGGTGCAGTCGCCGCCGAGCGGCCGGGTTCGGTCAGGAGGGTCACTCACCCTCCGCGAACCCGGTGCGGCCGGAGGCTGCGGCGAGATCTGCTCTGCAGAGGAGAGTCAGTCTGCAGTCTGACGGACGGGCGGCACTCTCTGTGAGCGAGGAGTGCACGGGAGACATAGACAGGTGTGTGAGGGAAACGGACCGGAACCCTGCTCCGCCAGGTGAGTTGGCCGGTGGCGTCGTGGCGACGCTGGAGGAAAATTTATTAATTTTTATTAAAACGTGTTTCTTATCATAACATAATTACTTTTGATGTTCATGCCAGGGGTGGCCATTTTTAGTATGTACCGGTAGAAGAGGTTTCAATGTCTGCGGCTTTAGCACGTCAATCTTCACCTACGCAATGCAAAGGCAAATTTATTTTGCCTGGTTTCATTTCATCAAACGTCATAGGTACTTCTAAAACATTTTTGTAAAGATCCCGGAGCGACCTTTGAGCGGTAACTGACGACCCACTCTACCCTCTCTCTCTCTCTCTCTCTCTCTCTCTCTCTCTCTCTCTCTCTCTCTCTCTCTCTCTCTCTCTCTCTCTCTCTCCCTCTCCCCACCAGCCGTGACCTGCCATGTTCGTCGCCCCTGTGTACGGACGGTGGCGGTGTGCGGTGGGCGCGGCCGTCACCATCTGCCTGGTGGTCATCGCTCTTCTCGTCTCGGGAGTCGTAGTGCTGCCGTTCAAAACAAATCGTGAGTGGAGGCGGTGTTAGTGACATTCAGGGCCTGGCTCGAACTTGTTTCACATAGTGATCGCTCTTACCATGAGATTGTCCGAACCGTTTAGTGCGATTATGTATTAACGTTGCTTTCCTCGAATATGCGGTTGCACCGTCTTCTAATACGCACATTGTCTTATAAACATGTAAAGTACGTCACCTGCTTTATATTTATACGATGTTTCGGATATGTTTTGCCATTCGTGTAAATATCCACACATGTTTATGGTTTATTGAATAATCTCCGACATCTACCTAAACCTATACAAAGTCTTATTACGTTCGCCACCCCCTCACTCTTTGCCTCGGTTTCAGACGAGACGGACCCATCTCAGTGGATGGCGGAGGAGCTGAGCCCGCAGCCGCAGCCCGGCTGTGACTGTGTGTGGCGCGTGGGCTGCGTCCAGTACCGCTGGCAGGTGAACCTGACGGACGCCTGGCACGGCTGCGGTATCGAACAGCTCAGCGACAGGCGAGTGGGGCCGTCATGTGGACGGGTTCAGCGGGCTTAACATGCTAGATTTTTTTACTATGAAGGGAAGGTGGGTCAATTTCCTAGAGCTATCGCCTAAGAGCGACGGTATTGTTTTAACTTCTCGTAAAAAAGAAACTGAACTTAAAGGGACCCTCCCTCCTTCAAAAAAGTTAATGAATTGGCATGAAATTTATGTCGCTCGGTTCAGAAAGAGCGAAAACGAATATCTACCAAATTTCATCGAAATCATTTCACCGGTTTTCAAGATATTAGACTTTTACTTTTGTTTACTTTTTGGGATCTCCGCTGTTCCTAGCGACTTTATTTGAATGTGCGGTATTTGTTGGGCGCAAAGCAGCATATACCATCGCGTGCGACCAAACGTTTTAGTAAAAGATTTAAAAATTGTTAGATCTCCGCTGACGTCACAAGTTCTAAGGGGGGCGGCATCCCAATGCATTAGCCCCTTAGAATCCGAAAACTGCAAGTTTGAAATTCCATATCTCCGAATTAAAGCATTTTTCGATGTTGTGAGTGCCCAAACCGGTATTTTCAGGCCATTACCACCAATTTGGCTATCTCAACTCAAAACTAATGTTAAGATGGGATGGTCACTTTAATCTGTTTCATCATTGCTACGCTAAAATGAAGCTTCTTGTGAAGATCTTGAACGTCGTTCTCTGTTAATTTCTAGTACCAGTAAAACGCCTTTGGGGCGAAGAACGAGCGAGCGAGATCGTGAGCCCTGCACGTGCAGAAGGGCGAGAGGGTACTTCCAACGGGCTTGCGCAAAGCACCCTTCTAACCGGTCGCTAGCGGTGTACCAAATTTGAACGCAATCGGCCCAGCCGTTCCTGAGATCTGGAAGCGGCATTCTGCACGTGCGCACGTGCAAACGGGGCCCAAACTGACTTTTGCACGGCACCCTACTAAACGGTCTCCAACCGTGTACCAAATTTGAGCGCAATCGGCCCAGCCGTTCTCGAGATCTGGAAGCGCCCCCTGCACGTGCGCACGTGCAGTAGCACCCTAACCGCAACACATGGGAATGCACTGCCTGGTGGGTGCCTACCTGTTGCCAAGTTTCAGCGAAATCGCCCCAGTAATTACCGAGTTATTAAAATGGGAACAAATTTGACACCTCTTATTGTTGTATTTTGCACGTGCACTGGGGGTGACCCACATGCATTGAGAGTATCCTATTTTTGGTAGAAAGGATGCAGCTACCCTATAAAAATTACCGCAAGTCAATCGCCCAAGCGGCTGCTGAGATATGAGCCTCTCAAAATCACTACGTTTGCAAAACATCTTGAACACCCTTGACTTTTCACGTGGCACGTGCCACGGCGGTCACTGAGATGTATCAAAAGTAGTCAATTACGGGGTAGAAGGAATGGGGCTACCCAGCAAAAAAGACCGCAGGCCAATCGGTCCAGCGGTTGCTGAGATATAAGCCTCTCAAAAGCGTTACAGGCCGGGCCGGGCCGGGCCGGGCCGGGCCGGGCCGCTCATACTGAGATTTTTCCGTTATATTGAAAAGACTCGCTTCGCTCGCTGCGCTCGCTCGCTCGTAATAAGCAGGCGTGAACATGCGTGACCTGACTTTGACCTCTTCATTCCAGCACACTATCTCAGTGTCTGTCCCTGCGGCGACGGCAGCGGGGTCGCAGCTTACGTCTGCGCGTGGTGGGCCACGTGCGGGAGGCGTTTTTCGCCGACTACCTGCGCCAGCGACTGGGCGCCGCTGCCGTACAGGAGGGGTGCCGCCTGGTCAGCAACGGTCCCGGAGAGAAGGTGGTGGGGAAGGAGGAGTACGACCAGGTGGTGGCGAAGGATGGAGGTCAGACGTGCGTCAACGTCTACCAGACGGACGACATACGACTGGTGAGACAGGACGGGGGGTACGAGCCGAGGGACAAACGGACGTGAGAGGGTGGGATAATGTCCGTGGTGGCTGAGACATAACGAGTGCTGATGTATAAGCATTGATACAAACTGTGACCCAGCCGACACTGCTGACTTCACCGTATTTCCAGGAGTACAAACTGCTGGGTCTGATGAGCGAGGACATCTTCAACTACGTGGGCCACCTGAAGCAGGAGTGTGAGACACACGGGTGTGAGGCGGACCTTCTGATAATCTCCGGAGGCGCGTCGGAGCTCCTCAACTCCACGTTCCTGGAGAGTTTCGAGGGCGTCAGGTGAGTTGTGCTTATTCATATAAATGGTTTGATGGAAGCACACAGATAATTATAAACTTGTCTCAAGAAAGAAATAAACTTTTTCCCCTAAATAGATCGAGCTGAATTCCTAGGCGGCGGAACGGGGAGGGCACCGGGGCACCGTGCCCCCTTTCATTTTGGCATTTTAACATTAGCCCTATGGGCGTTACATGGAAAGAATGAGACCAAAAGTCGGCTGTGCCCTCCTTAATCGAAGGTGTTCCGCCGCTACTGGCTGAATTTGTCTGGAGTAATACACAAAACTGTACTTAATGTTATAATCGTAGAATTAGCGACGTTTTGAAGGCTCATGGACTCTACTTCACAAATGTCACCACTCTTCATCGTGCTGACGTTTGGACGTTCTTCCCTGACAGGCGGTTCCAGCGCCACTTTAAGCGGCTGCTGCCGCTGTTGTTCGAGCTGGTCACCAGCCACCGCCTGCAGGTGGTGTGGAAGGTACACGAGCCGGTCACAGACGAGCTCATCGCTGACACGTCCATGGTGCGCAACGACCTGCTGCAGGAGTACAACGCACTCATCATGGAACAGACGTGAGTATAACGCGGTCATCATGGAACAGACATGAGCACTGAATATAACGCACTCATCATGGAACAGACGTGAGTATAGAGCGCTCATCATGGAACAAACGAGGGTAAAACGCGCTCACTATGCAACAGACGTGAGTGCAGCGTGCTCATCATGGAACAGACGTGAGTACAACACGCTAATTTTGGCACAGACGTGAGTAGGTACAACGCGCTCACCATGCAATAGACGTGAGTTTAGCCGACAACGACCTCATCATGCAACAGTCTTTGACTTTTGAGCACTGTATGCCATTCAGGCACCGATAATGTTTTGCGCGCTTTTTTGCCACACCGATTCTGACAAAGTTTTAGACGAGCAGTAAAAACTCAAGCTCACAAAGCATCCATGCCTCGGTCCCATGCATTATGGATGGCGGTAGCATGGGCATAAAAAAGCTGGCCCCTAAAAAGCTGCGCATCTTTGAGACGTCTATTTATTATTCGCAAGGAGACTTCGAGCTGAGGGCAGTACTACTTTTGTGTGTAGACTGTACAGCATCCGTTTACTTGTTACGAATATTTAGGATATAACAAGGGCTCCGCCACAGGGGGGTACGCGGGGGTCCGGACCCCCTCAATAATTTACCTGGGGGGTACAGTACCCCCAAATATTTCGAATAACTATAAGCTTGTTTTCGCATAAGAATGACCAAATCATTCACAGAATGTGTTGAATAACTTAGAATACGTTGACTGTCGCAAAGCTAAGGAATTTAAGATCTAGAAATGTAGGGATCCCTTAAAATGTTGTGACACACGAAGTGCTCAACTCTCGCCGACCTATACTCGTATGTACGGGAGTGCCATTATTCTACCATTTTGTTATTAAAATGAATGCGTTTAAGATTGCTATAGGATTAGCTAAGCATGCCAGGATTCGGCTATATAATTTCGTGAGAGAGGTCCAGCTTGCAGGACAACTCTTAGACACAATACCCGCCCTAAATGAGCTTCGAATCGACCTGAGAATCCTTTTTCCATGTGAGGTCAACCGATAGTGTTGGGGGAAGGGGATTAAGCCGGTCTTTCGAGCACCGTACTAGTCTAAGCAGCCTCACACCGTTCTGAGGTAATCTGCAATAATCTGCACAGGACTCTGAATGCATGTCGGTAGAGATACGTCTACAAGTCACAACTCTTACAGAATCCCCTGCATAACCTGACCTTTGATTCAATTGCAGCATTTTGATATCCATTTTCAGGTCAAGATAGGTCACTCTCTGATCACAGAGACTGAATGTCAGTATCTAAGGAGTCCATACTGCTATATGTATGAGGGCAGGGCTTTCAAATCCCTTCAACGACTCCTAAAGCCCTGCGCTATCCTTTAACTACGGCCTTGGAGGACCCGGCACTGGCCTAAAAGCCTACATAGATAGATATCTGAGCGCCTATGAAGGTCCCTGAATTCCCAAGCCCATGCCAGTCACTGAGAGCCTAATGCGCTGTCTGATGGCTAACACGCCCTTGGAGCGCGCAACAGCGGCCTTCACTCCTCAAGAACGTTGATTTGAGAGGCCGCAATGTCGGTGTCAATGGGCTCCGCTTCTCGGTTTTCGATTCCTTGTGCAAATTGAACCTTGGTTTTTCGGTTTAAAGCAGAATTCTCCCGATAAAATTATTAAGCTTTCTTGGAGCTCTAGAAAAAGCGGCGATTTTTCATCATCTTCGGGAGCTGCAGGGGGAGGGGAGGGTGAATTCGCCCAAAATACCCACCCTGGATTCGCCAGCGAGGTTTTGTGTTTTGGGTCGGACCCCCCCAATCCCAAAACCGTGGCGGAGCCCCTGGGATATAAGCATTTGACGCTTGCCTACTTATTTGGAGACTTCGTAAGGTGGGCACTGATCAGTGCTCTGTAGGCTGTTTTAATGAACTGCTGACGCGCAGTGTCGACCGCTCATGTGCCATCCTCTGTATCGAGCTTTATCTCATGTCACGCCCGTCGTAATACGTTCGCCGCTTGGCGTTTGGCCGTCCCGTGCTAATGGTGAAATCAGTCGCCAACATTATCTAGGCCCTGCTAGTCTATAAGCTCTGTTTCGTGTGCTGTATCGTGCTCACGCTGCACATGCCATGACTGGCAGGATCCGCTCGCCTTTTCGCATCTTACAGCGCTGTCCCGTGTTCTGTATCATGCTGACACTGCTGACACTACCGTCAGGATCCGCTCTCCTCCCACTGTCCCGTGTTCTGTATCATGCTGACACTGCTGACACTACCGTCAGGATCCGCTCTCCTCTACGTGTCTGGACCTCCCACATGCTAATGAAGCTACGTCACATCGAGGACTGCGCCGGTCTCGCGGACACGGACCAGTTGAACTCTGCCGACTGGCGCTGTGAAGAGGAGTGGGTGGCCGGAGACCGGGCACACCGCGAGTACGCTGACGCCCTCTTCAACAGCGTCTGCCACAACGTGGTGGCCATGCCGGAGAACCCCTGCTGCAGCGCATGATAAGGACGATGGGGGGAGGGATGTGGGGAGACCCTTCCCGTGAGGCTGAGGATGGGAGGGCTGGAGAGGTGAAGATACTCATGGGGAGATATTAATGTGCAGATGTGGAGATGTGATCTTTCATCATTGTGACAAGAACAGCCAACAGGCATGTGAAATACATGAGTGGGCATTAAATTAAAATGTCTGGAGATAAGCTCTGTTTACGAGTGACGAGCTAGCGTTCGAAGTGTTAACCACCGTATCCATTGTCGACAACAAAAACAGTCACAATAGTTGTTCGAATCGTAAATTATATTTATTTGTGCAAATACGAAAACGCATTTTGTACACGGTAAGGATCAGGCGATTCGTAGAGATACGTGAAAAAACTACAATATGCATAAGTATAAGTAACAGTAAATTTAGGTACTTGCATGCCAACAACACATACGACATTTTAAGGGCATCGTGGATATTTGGATGATGCATTTTTGTGCAAGCGTGGCCTTGAGTTAGTTAGAGTGGCCTTTACACTTCTCTGAAATTAAACGACGATTTAAATAAGTTCGTTCCTTTAACTGATTCAAGCCATCTTCAAAGTACCAACTTATTTTTGCTGCAGTACAATACACTCAAACCGTCTATCGTGAGCACAAATTAAGAGATGAAGAACGACCCGCAGCGCTACCTAAATGGGAAATTTAAAGTCAACACTACAAACAATGCGCAAACGTTTTGTTCAATCAAACGGTGCTGTGATGAATACGAGACAGATAAACGCTCCGTTTAGTAACAATGTAGGTATCCTTAGCAGCCTCAATGATGCGCTTTATACCGAAAAGCGCGACAAGGCCACAAGGCACGTAATCAATGCACGACTCTGGTGCGTAATTCGCATGACTGGTATTACAGAATCAGCATTCATTTAAGGAAGTAAACCCTAATATTCACATACATACACATTACACGCGTCACGCACAAATTCAAGCAGCGATCAACAGACGCACACTTACAATGACAAGGAAAGAATAATGGCGTTGTGCAAAACATGCACTTTGCCTGAGTGAAATGGAATGGTTTCATGAAGAATTACACCCTTGAGATCTATAAATTGTTTTGGAGCCTTAGACTAGAACTCTCATAGACTAGGACGACTTGTAGGCACACGAGTGTTTACCACTCATTCGAATAACACACTTGACTAGAGGATTGTTCAGAAAAAATTATTGCACCGTTAAAATTCTGCGCTGGTTTTCGGACACACAAGAGCTTCACGTGCAGGTACGTTTCTCCATATAATCGCCACTTCGTAGGCCAGCCGCGTCCCTTGTACTTACGTACCACAGTCCACCAATGCCCTAATAAACACGACACCACTAGGAAACTTCAGACGAGACAATAAAGCGCCCTTAGCATTGCCGCACGATGGTACGTCGGGTCCTCTCGCCAACAGCAGTGGAAACTTAATTGTTCTTTTCTTTCCATGCATTCCAATATAGCAGTCTTACCTCGAAATGCAAGCCTTTGAGGCCTGCATCACACAGGTCAATGCAAATTATAATGTTATTCATACTCCGGTAGCTTCGCCTCTCCCTTCGGAATCAAGCCGGCGGTGCGTCGGTCAGCGGCGTAACGCCACAAACTTGAGCCTTTTCTGCTTCTGGCGCTGGTTACAGAACCACACACGCACCACGTTCTTCTTCAGGTCGAGTTTCTCGGCGATGGCGGCGATTTTCTCGCCGCTGGGCCGCGGCTGCACGCTGAAGTACGCCTCCAGCGAGCGTTTCTCGGCGGCGGCGATGGAGGTGCGCTTCCTCTTCTTGTCGTCGCCAGGCAGCACGGACGGCGCGGCCGGGTCGGCGCGGCGGTCGCGCGCCTGCGCCTCCGCCTCCTCCAGCCAGGCGTGCAGCACGGGCCGCAGCGCCAGCATGTTGTTGTGGCTGAGCGTCAGAGACTCGAACCGGCAGATGGTCGACTGGGAGAGCGCCCCGACGCCCGGCAGCCGGAGCGCGCCCAGCGCGCGGCCTACGTCCGCCTGCGTCACCCCCAGCTTGATGCGCCGCTGTTTGAAGCGCTCGGAGAAGGCCTCCAGCTCGCGCGGGTCGGCGTCGGCGGAGTCGGCGGGGACGGCCGACAGCGGAGGGTGCAGCGGCAGGCCGAACATCGCCGCGGAGGTGTGCGGAGGCGGGGGCGGCGGGCGGCTGTCCACGGCCGGAGCTGCCAGCGCCGTCAGCGGCCCGGCGCTGGCAGAGGGCGTACACAGCGGCTCGAGCAGCTCCAGACTCTCCATTCCGTCAGGTGGACACGACTGAAAACAGACAGTATCGAGCCAGTTAGATTAGGCTCATGGAGCACGCAGGACAATTAATGCATGCAGTAGGTGCCTAAAAAGGGCACAGCAAATGCCGATCGAGCGGGTACAATAACCGCAATTCGCCTCACACACATGAAGCAAGGTGAAGACTCTACAGCACTCAGAGATACGCTTTGTTTTGAGCAGCAACACATCATTTTCGTGACACAGAGTCTTTTCCAGCGGACATCGGTCGTTTACCAACAGGGCGGCAACACGGCCTGCCAACCTGGACGAGCAAACAACGAGTCTTCAATCCAATCCCCCGGCCGGGCGGGCGATAACAGAGCCATTCCACGGCAAACGCACCCATTCCAGTGCCATAAACAGGTACCAATTTTAGGGAGTGAAGGCGACTATTATAGCACTATCTACGCTGAAATATTTCTCATTCCTTTTGAAGTATGCTCGTTTTGTACGGAATATGCCTCAAAACCTCCGGTCCCGTATAGATCCGGCCTCAAACTATGGGCATGAAGCAGGAATTGGTTCGACAACGTTTTCAGTCCTGGTGCCAACGAAATGAAACTATAAGAGCTTTCTGAGAATATTATAAATACAATAGAGAATGGTTCAAGAAAAGAATATACCTAGGTAAGCCGCAGGTAGGTATAGCCTATAGGATTCATTTCAACTCAAGGCAGTCAGGTACGTATAACTCTGAAAGGTCTAAAAATGGTCTTGAAATGGGCGATACGTTACCCCATGTATGGTGCCTTACTACAACATCTAGGCTCATATGTCGGACCATTCCGCATTGGGGACGCACATTCCGCACTGGTTTGGCGCATTACCTGGTGCTTGACGGCCGTCTGTGGCTGTGGAGTGAGGGGCGCCGGCCGGTGCTGAGGCGGGGGCGCCGGCCGGTGCTGCTGCGGCACCGGGGGCGCCCCGCCGTACACCATGTCCCACACGGCGGGCGGCAGCGAGGTGGGAGGGGTGTGCGGCGCCGCCATGGACGGGTGCGCCGCGCCGTACCCCAGCTGCTCGGCCGGCGCCGGGGCCACGCCGTGGCGACCCATGTCGGCCAGCGCGCCGGCCCGGCCCAGCAGGGCGTCATTCAGGCCGCCCAGCAGAGGTCCCTGCCGACAGAGAGGGTAGGGGCAGGTCGGGTCAGGTCAATACAGCTCAGCCCGGCAGTAAGCCATTCAGACCACCCAGCAGAGGTCCCTGCCAGCAGAAGGTCAAGTCAGGTTGGGTCAAGTCAGGTCAGGTCAGGTCGGTGGTCCCTAACGAGTGCCTACCGGGGGCGGTCACCGTTCACTCTTCACTATTCACTGGTCACTGGTCACTGGTCAGTGGCCACTGGTCGCTGGCCACTGGTCAGTGGTAAGATCAGGGGTGATGTGCTTTCGGTCCGGCCTGACAGCAGGAATGACAACCATTAGCATACGTAAACGAACATGGGACCGAATCGCTGATTGAACCATGTTCAACGCAAGGCTGATGCCTGCCTATCAGAAAAGCGAATGAAAATCCGAGTAAATGGAATTCGTCTGATGTGATCGAAAATGGATTCGTCCGAGGACACACCACACACTACGCCACTTACGCGACCAGCGCATTGTGTGTCCCCGGCAGAATCGGTCAATGTGTACAGTGAAGAGAAAGACTACTTGTATATAAACTGGTTACCGTAATTCAATTCACATGTACGTTACAAATGTATTGTGATCATAAGCCACTGTTCATGCTTTAAACTGCGTGTACGTTATAATACACCCAAGATCATTATTGAACGTTACATTGACTGGGGTTTGTTAAACAAAATTTTCCTTTTGCTCAGCGAAGTTGTAAGTTATCTGGAAATTCTGGTCTCAGTGAGAGGGGTAGCGACACGCCCGGTCGTGGCCCTCTGACGGTACGGAGTGAGACTACCATGCACTGCACGGTGCAGGTGCATTGTGCAATGTCAGCATGGCTGGGCTGGCAGCAGTGTTCGCCACGGGCCGGGCCAGCCCAATGGGCCATGGGCCGGGCTGGGCTACGGGCTGGGCCGGGCCCCCAAATATCATTAGTTAACGGGCTATGGACGGGCCGGGCCAAGAGCTTTGTGGACTATGGGTTTTGCGACTAATGTCAATTTAAGAAAATTTGGAAACTGATGCAAACAAAACCCACTGGGAAAATACTAAAACTAAACCAAATTTAAGCAATGTGAAAGAAAACCTACTTCATATTGAATTTTGGGAATCTTGAGAATTATCCAATATCACATCATGTCACACATAGGAGGGTTTTCATAAAAATTCTGAAACCAAAAAGATCAGAGAATCTCTAGCATCATGTGTTTGTTAATAAAAGTTAAAATGTAGTTATCAGAATAACTTACTTAGCACTACAACTCCGAAAACTAAGAAGCCACTCAACAATGATGGGCTACAGGGCTACATTAAGTTTAACACTTATATATGGCGATAGTGAGACAATTCCAACACAGTCTTTTTTCCTTCACCGACGGCTTTTTAACGAAAAGAACCTTAAAAGAATACTCACGAAACACACTGTAAGTAACGTTGAATTCTACACAGTATTTCGCGATGAAAGCTTCCTTAAATATCCATAAATTTGTCAAAATAAATCACAACAACAACGACCCATCCCCTTCTCAACATGCATATTTACGTCTGGACAACGAGTTGCGGGGAAAAGTGCTGATTTTGTTGCAGTTTTAGGAGCCGGTGATTAGGCTGGATTTTTGGTTTACTTTTTCGTTCCGATTCATGTATTTCATAGTGATTGGCTTTTGAATATTTTAGTTCTTTCAGATGAATATTACTTGCCTTACAACTTTTGTAAAAACGTTTCATTTTTTATAAGCCGACCTTCAGAGTCCTAAAAATACATCAGCACTACAATCATTGTAAACAAGCAAATGGAGAGTACCACTTGGCTCTGTTCCAAGGCGCTTTTTAAGTTTATCTGGTGGTTTCCGTACTCTTGTACGTCGTTTTGTTGGATGTTTTGGATCCCTTAAGATTGACTTATATCATATTGAAGAAGCATGTGACTGAAAACAATCCGAAGTATCCAGGAGGCTGACAGAGGTCCTGACTCCTGAGCAATATCAATATCAAGTTGAACTTGTTATGAAATTTTGGTGGATAAACGCAAGTTGATCGGGCTCATATATCAGCAAAAAAAGTAAAATTAAAAGAGCTTATTGGCCGAAAACAAGCTATAATATTGCAGATCTTGGAGGCGGAGCAATACTGAAGAGCACACTGAGCAGGATCATGCCAGAAAATGTTGACTGATGAGCGCATATTGATGTATTGGTATGAATATTGAATGATAACTTACAACTGCAAGATAAATTAGTGCTAACTATCAAGTTAAAAATCTAGAATGAATGGACTTTGGCAGCTTTACTATGCTTAGATGCTATGCAGATTGTAATGTGCATCAGGTACTCAGTGTCTGGCAAATGAAACATGGGATCATTCCATTGCTACTGCAACTGGAGGAGAAAGCTTGGATCACTAAATCCACTTTATGTTGATTTTGATGTTAATCATTACTGTTTTTTTTTTTAAAGGATTGTTATAAAATTGTCAATGTGACAATCCATGCAACGATGTGATCATATGATGTGTTCATAGTCATTCATTATAGTGATTCATGATTGTTGGTCCAATATACGATGGCAAAGCTCTCAGTCTCAGCGTTTCTTCCTGTGGATGGCCAGCAGTGACTCAGAGCTTAGAAGTATTAGTTTTCTTCACAGGGCTCAGGGCTGGGATAAAAAGTACTGAGGGTAATCTTCCACCAAGGAACTCTACTTTGAGTTTTGACATGGTATGAGATGTAGGCACAAGTAGGTAGGTGCTTAGTTCCTATAGTCAGCAGTTGTGTAGGTTTAGTCGGGTTAGCTTAGATTAGGTTATGTTAGTTTTTTAATTTGCCAAGTGTCCATAAAAATGTGACCTGAGCAATGAGCATACCTGAATAACCTGACAGCTGACCTAACCAATCGTCACACATATTTGCAGCCTACCCAAGACCTGCATAGCAGTAGCACCCAGTTATAGGTAGGTACTCACCCTAACTCAATCTTACCTGCTAACCTTCAACTTGCCTATAGTTAGCTCACCTTGCCAAGCTGCATCCAGGGAAACAGTCAACTGAGGAACTGGCTCATTGGGTGGCTGGTGTGAGTCTGTGCATTTAAAGTGTTTCTTCTCTGAAGCTGCTCTGCACTGCTGTATGTCATGTTAGATGCTCAGAAAATGTGGGAAATGATTACTAAGCTACCTTAGTGCTTTGTTAATGCTCGAGACATGAACAAGTACAGATCCTGCAGGGTACAGCTATGAGTTAGGTGCTAGGTGAGTATGTTATGTGAATGTGCTGTTCCCTGTTTGACCATAGTAAGTATACAAACAAGCAAAGGGTCACAGTTATATTCAATCTCCACATAAACATACAACAAAAACGGCCATATAGCCTCACTCCGAACACACCACAAATAGCTTAGGCCTTTGCAGGCACAAAAATGCTTTGATTTACAAGACAGGTATACAATATAACCTCTGTCCTTGGGGATCTTGCTGCCAAGTTGAGGTACGATGACTGAACTTCAGGATTGATCAACCTTTTCTTCTTAGCCACTGCTTATATACGAGAAAGACCAAATGCTTGTTTGTAAACTGCCTTGAAAATTTAATGATCCACCTTCAATTCTGACATGAAGGCACAAATAAAAAAGTTCCCTCTCCTTTTGGAATACACAAAGCAAAATATTTAATAACTTCTAGTGGATGGACAAGAGCAATTAGCACAGCTTCCCCTCAAGTTCTGGCACTGATGAATAACACTGACGCTTATTCGCTTCATATTTTGTAACAAACGCGCAAAAACTGCAATATAACAGCACTATATGCTTCTTGACAAAATGCAAAAGTAGTACAAATTTAGCCCTGATGGCATTCATTCTTGGTGGAAACGTATTACAAAATATTTTGTAGTAACTATTAAATTCCGGCCGAAAACAGTGCACGGTTTCAAAAAGAATCATTCCAATGACGGTCCATTCTTGCGGTCCTGAAATCGCCACTATTTCCGGCCTCTCCAACGCAACTCGTTGTCCAGACGTAAATATGCTCTCAACATGGCGCTATGTTTATGTGGCGGCATCTATAGGTGGTAGTATAGGGTGTGTATCAAATGTACCCAAGTACAGTCGGACCCAAGATCCAACGGGACCCAAGATTCATAAGTACCCAGGTGCCTCAGGCTATACGGAAGTACCATAGCGACGTTGGGTCCCAAGGTTCAAGGTTGCCAGAATATGATTGGCTGAGCAGGCAGACCAATCGAACGAGCTGTTAGAAACTACTGTACCTCAGTACACTCTCTGACAGTGGGCAAGTGCGGTGAAGATTTCGCATACCAAAGTGACCCTTCCGGAGCCCGGAGGACCGGCGGCCGGCGCCCACAGTCAGGTAACAATGGGAAGGGTCGGAGGGACGGTCCGCCGCGCCGCACGGTGACAGCTGATTTCCGGGACGCTCAAGTGTCGCCTGTCAGACGCGTCGCCTGCCTCCCCCCCTCCCGCCCCGCCGAGCCGCACAAAGCAGCCGGACCCTGTCGCGGAACGAACCACCGTGCAAAACGCCCCCTTAAAGTGACCATCCCACCTTAACTTTAGTTTTGAGTTGAGATAGCCAAATTGGTGGCCATGGCCTGCAAATACCGGTTTGGGCACTCACAACATCGAAAAATGCTTTAAAGGGACTATCCCACCTTTACATTAAATTTGAGTTGAGATAGCCAAGTTTGCGGCGAGGTTCAGAAACCACTATCTATCTAGGTTGCAACCCCCGCGGCCTCGTGGTGTTGAAGAAATTCGTTCCCTTCATTTGAAAATGGGCCTTGTACAAGGCCCAATCCATTAGGTGTCGTCAGGTGTCGGGCATGACTTTGAGCAGTGCAGTGTTAACTTCGGAGTCGGAGTCGGTAAGATTTTAGCGACTCCAACTCCGACTCAGGGCAAAACTTCCGACTCCGACCGACTCCGACTCCGACTCCGCAGCCCTGGGACTCAGGTCAAAGTTATTTTCCTTAGATGACCTCGTTTGGCGTTTCAAAACGTCTCAGCGTAGTTTTTATGAGCTGATTACAAATTAAGCACAGATATAAACATTCCGGAACTAGTTCTGGCAATATGTTACAAAAATGACAGCGATGGTTTATAGTGATTAATGGATAGCCGACTGGACGCCGGTTAACCTGACCTGACCTCGTTTGATCTACTCAAATGGATGAACACATATTCTTTGATCGTAATAATTCTTAAGTTTGAAATCAGGACTTCAGAAACATAAAACATCACTTTTAGAAGTTCTACAAGGTCTCGATTTTCCCGATATTTGGTCATTGACCTGACCTTCGGCTTCCAGGTCAGACTAATGACCTATGTACAGGCCGACTGAAAAATGTATGAACGGATTTTATTAAAATTTTGCATGCGGCCTCCAAACTGACTTTTGCATTGACATTGATATCGTTTTTGCATTTTGTCATAATTTTTGATGAGCTAAGGCGAAGATTATAATTAACCCTCGCCCTGGCAGGTCGCCCGAGCCTTTTTGCGATGCAAACCGAACTATTAGTCGGATCGTGCTTAAATTTTCAATGGCCTCTGGGACATCCTTCGCGCAACTTTTGGTAAAAAGAATCGGGTCATATCAGGTCACCGAGCTACGACGTCATAATAGGTACAACCTCCGACCGTTTTTGACAAAATCGCACATACCGTAACTGGGCGTGGTCTCATCGACAAGAACGAAACTATCCCGTGTAATTTATGTTAGAATTTGACTATCAACTGACTGGTGTGCAACGAGCAGATAGGTATTGATACTCGGCAATGGTCATTTTTGTTGTTTTGATTTTTTAATATAGGGGAAAGTGGGGTAAGACGGGCACCTTAACTTTGGAGCCATTTTTTTCGGCCGGTTAGAAACATCATAGAAAAGGGAAACTGAGTGAAAACTTTTTTTTAGACATTTTACTTCCATTTGCCAGAAGATGAGACTTAGACCTGATTCAACAAATAAACTGCAGCTATTTTTGCAAAACCTTTCAAAAACCCGTCTTACCCCACCCCATGGGGTGAGACGGTCACATGGGTAGGGCAAGACGGCCAGCTTCTTTCACCGACCAGCACAGCTCGCACCAAATGCCCGAGATTAGCCGCATTGATACAGTCGCTCGTTGGTCTCAAGTGCTTCGGGAATGGCAGTATACGAGATTCGTGCAGAAGGCGTATGCTCGTATAGAGGCCCTAGTTCAGAAACCATGTAGAACCGTTTTTCACATTCATTATTCGAGAATAAACTGTGCCGAAGGAATATTGCTAACATGTCTGTGAGTATCGGAATCGAACATATTCTTATTAGAAATGCTTCTTTTTTCCTACAGCAACAAAAATATTTTCACCATTGCAGACCCATTGGATTCATAGTTGCCCGTCTTATCCCAAACTCAATGTCAGAAGTTCAGCACGATTTTTCTCTGTGGACAATTTGATGCAGACAAAGCAAATCCGCGGTAAATGAGCACTGGTGGCATATGAGTGTACCACAAGTGATTGCGAGTTTTTAACTCTATACTGTTGCACACAAAAGCTTGC